GACACGGCCCAAGTCTTTTTGCTCGCACCCGGTGACTTGCACTTGAACATTCCAACCGCGATTTAAGCGATCCAGCCCTCAAAAGCTCATCCGAACGGATATCGTTGCCGATCAAGGGGGCGGCAATTGTGAATCGAAGCTTGTGACGAACAAGAGCAAAATGCTTTAACGACAAGTTCTTGTGGCGCTTGATGGAGGTTGAGGCATGCATGGCTGCGTGCAAGCCATCAGCCGCAATGTTCAAGGGCGGAGCAAAACCGCCGCCGTTGGAGCTTCCTCAGTGTCAATATTTGCACGATGGCGCGCCGCGGCATTCGGGGGCATTCTCTGTGACCGGAAAGCTCGTTTTTATTGCGAGCAAGATACCTTCCGACGGGGACCCATCGCGCAATGAATTTTTGATATTCGAGCGGGCCGGAACTACGGGGACTTGCTCGGCGGAAATCACTTCACGTGCGCGCGGGCTGCGGGCACCGCGACGAGAGAAGTCTGAAATAACTTCACTGTGAAATGACATAGTGTATTAAAGTGTACTTTTTGGAAACTCTGCTAGTACGCAGGTTACCCTTATAATCCCCCCCCCCCCNCTTTTTCCCTTCTCCTTTTACTTTTCTCGGCTTTAATAGTTAGGGAGGATTATAGCGATTACTATAATTACTTTATTCTTATATTCTTTATATTTATTTAGTTTATTAAGCTCTTCTTAAATTTTTCTTATTTACTTATTATATCTAAGTTTCTTATAGAGTTTTTATTAGTCCTTTTAGTACTCCTTAATACTTTGGACCTTATTAGATTAAGAGAAGAGGTATACTATAATTTAATAGATAAATATTTAGTAGTAGTACTTATCTTTAAACTTATTTAGGGATCTAATATTAAGGTTTATATTATTAATAGTAATTTAAATATATTATTTATACTTTTTTATAAAAGTAATAAAATTAACTTTCTCTTTTATTTTCTAGTTTATTAATTTAGTAATAAATATCTTAACTAGTTTAATTATAATAAATTAATCTTATTAAGGATAGTTAATAAATAGAGGAAGAATAGACCTATATTCTTCCTCCTATATAACCTTATATAGTAAGTTATCTATAAGCTATTAAAGTTATTAATAATATTCTTATAAACTTAGATTAAAGTTTTCCTAGTTATTATAAATAGTATTATAATACTTAGTAAGTATCTATTAAAGTATAAATAGAATTTTTATAGTGTAGCGTAAACCTCTATAAATTGGATGTGGCTAGGCTTAAAGGGTAGAAGAAGTCTGAAATAACGTCGTATCGATCCCGGTCCTGGCGACATAGGGGGGCTGGGGGCCCGGGTCGGAAGATGGCCCTGAACCTGAGATGGATCACAGTCTTTTCTGGTGAGGGAGATGGTGAATCAATCACACACTGTTGCCCCGCTGGCGTTTGGTGGACCAGGTTGTTCCGGCGACCTCGCTCTCGGGCCCAACGGCGGAGAACGGCAGACGAGGGTTGAGTGAAGTGGGCTGGTGAATGCCGCGTACCCCGTTGCGTGCTTCAACTTGGAGTGGTGGTACAAGCTCTCACCACCTCTTTGTGGGTGATGATACAAACCGTCTTGTATGATGTCGGCGAGCGAGAGCACATATTCTGATTAAATGAGGCGTCAGGCGTGTCGTCGACAGGTGCATCTGCATGATACATTGGAGGCTGCAGGAGTCAAAGTCTACCGAGTCACGCGCGAGAGGGTTTGCACTTGCACCGCGTCTGCGTCGTCTGTGGTTTGCGTGTGGCCGCGGGCGCAGACGAACAGGCGTGGGAAAGTTTGCTGGAAGGTTCCCGGGTGGGAGGCGGCTTGCGGAACACACAGACGGGCTTTTGTTGACGGGACAGGAGAGAGTTTGGGCATCGTGCGACGATCTCGCAGTCAATCTGAGGGGGAGCGGTCCGAAGCACACTATGGCTACCGCAACATGGCTTTGCTGTTGTTGTTGATAAAGTCCAAAAAAAGGTTACGCGCGACGGGTGTGGGATGTAAGGGATATCAGACGAGCGGACGAGAGGGAGGGAATATCCGTCACCGTCCGAATGTGTGAAGCAGGACGACGGGAAGAAGCCAAGAAGAGTTGTGGTAGCATTGCACCACTTGGAGGTAGGGAGAAGGCAATGCGTCATGTCTGGGATGTCTCGTCTTGTCACTTGTCAGGTTCCAGAAGAAAGGGAAGATTGGGAGACTCGGACAGTGGATCGAATGTTGTGCTTGCACCCGTTGAACGGTACCTTGCTTGAGATCAAACGCTAGAAGAAAGGTTTGGTTTGGCCGGGGTTCAGTTGTGATGCCGTGTCTTGCGTGTTTGCATGTCTGCATGTCTGAGTGAGGCGCTGTATCCGTACTCGCAAGGCGAGTCTGAGTCCGAGTGTCTCTTTGGAGATGGAAGCCGAGGAAGGCTGGCGCGATATGATGTGAGGTGATGTACGGATACATAGCCCGTACAGGCATACAGGTATCAGGGGGTGGCGAGGGCTGGTGAACTCGAAATCGAGCTCGAGGTAGATGACTAAGGCGGATGACACAGTGTGATAGGCGGCTTCCCGCTGCCGCTCCCCCCTCCATCTTGATCCAGTCATGCGGGTGCAAAAAAAGAGTGCAGACTCTTGTACCCCAGCTGCACTTCCTGCTCGACCTCCCCTCCGCGTATTCCTCGAAAAATACTAAAATAATACTTCGAAAATACTTCTCGACTAATAAAACTTTTCGAGTATTAAAACGGAATTTTTGAGCGAGTTTACGCTGTTGTGTAGATGCTGGACTTATTCTGCTCAATGTCCAGACTGCGCTCTAATTTTGCACCCACTTGCCAGTCGGTCGAGTTCAACCTGGCGGCTGCGGGTTAGGCTAATGCCGCGGACCAGTGACGAACGAGCTGCAGGAACAGCCGACATGACGACCAATCTACTGCATAGTAGGGACTAGGCGACAGAGTCCGTCATCTTCCTAGCTGAGGCCACTGTGTCTGATCGTCTCACGCAATTGACGCAATCACGGCTCGATCAGCGATGCGGTCGACAATAGCGAGGGATAGTCGGGATGGGCGTTCGCACTGACAGAGTTGGCCAAAGATCCGCTGCAGGATCGAGGATGCCGAGGCGAGCAGTGTAGACGCTGGAGAGCAGACAGAAGATGATGCAGCTGCCCAGGTTGTGGATGGCCTCCGATTTGCCGGCCTAGCGTCCACACGCGTGTGGATGAAGAACCCACTTGCTCCCTCAACCCAGACAGCCACAGGTTGAAGTGAACCCAGACTTCCAGTGTCGGGGTCGGGGAGGCCAGTTCGGACTGAGTTCCAGGATGGATCATGTTTGCCGTGGTGTGGATCATTCTTGACCGACAAAGTAAGGTACGGATAGCAGAGAGAAGGGAAAGTGTTGAACATTCTCTGCTGGTGCTGGAACACTGAACCTTGCGACACCGGCCGCTAGGTAGCTCGGAGTCTCTGCTCAGCCAGTGGTCTGGGACATTCCAGCCAAGCCCAGAGAAGGATGGGTAGGGGGGGCTGGCTTTAAGGGTTCGGGAGCCGGAGCCCTAACAAGACCCTGAATCTGGAAATTTGAACTTGCCGACCTTTCTTCAAGTTTGTGTGTTTGCTTGGTTGCGAGGTCTTGTCAAGTCCGTTTGGTGTTGTTGAATGTATGTGCATGATGATCGATATCATGATTGACGTCTTCATACCCGCACATCACCCCATCTCCAGTGTTCAAGTGGTGGACTTTTTTGGTTTTGGGGTCAGTCGTCAGCAGCAGGAGTTGGAGGGAGAGTGATGGGCAAAAAACCCCGCGATTTTAGTTTGCCACAGTTTTAGGACCCCAAGGGGCGTCCCAGAATGCGATGGGCTGTCCTGTGCCTGTGGCCGTCTCCTCCCTTTCGAAACTGGGGGAGCAACGCCTCCATCTGACTGGCTGGCTGGCCGACAGCGGGTGGGGTTCGCTTGACGGGAATGGTGGGGCTGGACGGTGTCGCTTCGCAGAAAGACTGTACGTGGACGCACCGTAACAGACCGTCTGCACACCGTCCGGTCAGGCCCCTGCGCCTTCCAGTGTGTTTCCTCTTCCCCTGAGGTGCCCACAGTTCCCTTCGGCCCCCCCTTCCAGACCTGATCCTCGTCAGCCCGTGCAGCCATGGTGTGGTACGAGTCCCGCCGGTGCTAACTGCTTCCCTTGCCTTCCACCACACGGCACACGCCAGAGCAAAGCCACGCCTCCAGCACCAACTGCCCAGCTGCAGACCCAGCCGTCCCGTCCAGTCGTTTATTGGGGTGCCACCAAGGTATCTTTCCGCCTTTTTCACCGCCCAAAGCTACTTGCCCACAACAACCAAGAAACCACCCGGCCGACAGCAACCACCCTGTGGCACCTTACCTGCTCACTCAGTTGCGTGCTGGCTGAGGGTAGGTACCTACCATCCAGCTTCGGGCTGGCTGACTGACGACAGTGGGCGGCGTGTGCTTCAGCCAAAAAAAAAGCGAAAAAACCACAGAGCTGACAAGGCCCGGCGCAAAAAAACAGAAGAGGCAGTAACCCAGCAAGTAGCAGTCAAACCCTCCCTCTTTCCGAGGAAACCACCACTTCCACCCAGACTCAGACTCAGGTCCTTCCCGCCCTCCCGCTCTCTCTTCTGCAACCTTCAACCTCCCCTCCCCGACACTTCACGGTGCCTTTCTTTCATCGCCAGCATCACCTTTTGATCCATCCGAATACATATCCCACCCCACAGCGGCCCATCTGCGTCTGCTGTCTGTATTCGCCGTACCTGTGCCTGGGCCCGATTTAGTTCGCTAGCCCAACCAACCCACCTTCACATGGTCCACGCCCTCCGCTGCACTCGAACCATCATCGCCAGCGTCACCACCACGACCACAACCGCCGCTCCCACCGCCTACACCACTGCTCCTATGTCTCGCCTGCATCACGACAACGACTGGGAAGCGTTGATGTAAATCCCTCCCGCATCACGACAAATCGACCATGCTGCGACGCCCGCCTCGTGAAGGGAGGCGCGGCGCCAACCAGCGGACCTACCTGCTTGCTCTAGCAGTCCTCGTCATCTCCTGCATCCCACTCGCCGATGCCCAACAACAACCCATCGACGCCCTCCCGAGGGTCCAACAGCCTGCCCCCGGGAGCAGCCAACATGAGGGCATACACGACATAAACCCCGAAGCAGCCCGCAACTGGGCTGCCACTCTTGAGGCCGACAATGCTGCCGTGTCTCAACGACGCAAGAAGACCGTCACGTCTTCCAAAGAACAACTCAACAACCGTCGGAACACCCCCGAATCTATAATTATTCCTAACGATGCGAGCGCCGTCGCAACTTTGGCTCCGGCTCAGTCCGTGAGAGCACCATCTCCTTCTGGACATCGACCCATTGTGTCCCGTGTTGCCGGGGCCAACGGGATCTCTACGCAGCACCATGCGCGGAGTCTGAAGGACTGGGAAGTAGAAGACTTTGTCCTCTTGGCGACCGTCGACGGACACCTATATGCCAGCGACCGCTTTACCGCCCGCGAGCGTTGGCATCTCGAGGTCGACCAGTCCATGGTGGAAACAAAACACTTCCGCCTCAACGCGTCCGAACTCGACGACGACTACAACTTCATCGACCACTACGTCTGGGCCATTGAGCCAAACCGCGACGGAGATATCTACTACTGGGTCCCCGGTGCCAGCGAGCCCAGGCTGTTGTCCACCGGCTTGACCATGAAGCAGATGGTCGACGAGGGCGCGTCTGCCCTCGACAACCCGCCCATCGTCTACACCGGCACAAAGAAGACGACAATGATAACCCTCGACGCCGCCACCGGCAGAGTACTGAAGTGGTTCGGATCTGGCGGCTCGCACGTCAACGAGGCCGAGAGCTGCCTGCGCCCCAACGCGTTGTACGACCAAAACAACGAGGAGTGCAGCTCCACAGGCACAATCACGCTCGGCCGCACCGAGTACGAGGTCGGCATCGCTCGGAAAGACGGCCGACAGATTGCGTCTCTGAAATACTTCGACTGGACCCCCAACACCAACGACTGGGACCTGTTGAATCAATACCATCAGTCTATCGACAATCGTTATCATACCACTAGACACGATGGCCGAGTTTACGGCCTCGACTATAGCCGAGACAACTTTGAACACGACCGACCCGAGGAGGGATTGTTCTGCAGCGAAAAATTCCCCGCCCCAGTGGTCAAGGTCTTCGATGTCTGTCGGCCGTGGGGAGTGCTTCCCGAGAGCAACCCCGACCTGATCGTCCTCCCACAGCCCGTTCCACCGGCTAAAGACGAGTCCATCGCTCGCGTCAGAAACCAACGAATTTTTGTAAACCAGACCGAAACAGGAAACTGGTATGCCCTTTCAGGTCGTTCATATCCTCTGATGGTGCTTGCTCCCACGGCCAAGACTTCGGAGCCCGACTGGCTCCAGCTCGGCCACCCATGGGAGAAGATGAACGAGACCCAGCGAATCAGGGCCATGATTGGAACCCACAACATGGATGCCGTCCACAAAGGCAAGATCTACCAAACCCCTAGTCTGCCAGGTCGGCAGGATGTCATCGACGTGGACCCCGAGAACGACTCGGTGCTGCCTGTGCCCACGCCTCAGCCAGACGAAGAGTATGAGCCTGTCGAAACGACGATCGTGAACAAGGTCAAGCAAATCCCGCAGCAGGTGTCAAACAGCTTCATCGACTTCTTCTCCAACCCCATCTTCATCCTTCTCGTCGCCTCTCTCTTATTCCTCTACCAGAAAGACCTGCGTCGCTGGTACAAGGCCAAGACAACGAAATGGTACAAGTGGGAGGAGACCACAGACACCGAGGACAACGGCGACACCGTGACGCCAGAGCCCACGGTTCATGACCAGGTCGTGCCGCCCGCGACTGCGGAGAACATCCCCAAAATCGAGGAGCCTGCCCCTGAACCTAAGGTTGAAGAGGCCCCTGTTGACAAGGCCGAGGCCGAGGCACCCGCCGCGGCCCGTGAGGCACCACCCCCACAACCTGACAGGTCGGGGGCGTCGACCCCCAAGCCAGCCGCCGCCCCCAGCGACCAATCGTTGACACCGCCAGAGCCTGGAACCCCTGAAGTTAAGAAGAAGAAGCCGGCTCACCGCGGACGACGCGGTGGCACTAAGCACCGCAAGGGCAAAAAGCGGGAAGAGGCATCACAGTCCCGCGATGACGACCCACCACAGTCTGTGGAAGACGCCGTCAACAAGGCCAAGAAGCTGGGAGGTCAGGTGACCCAATTGGAGCCCGATGTTGTCACAGTCACGAACGACATGCAAGCGGTTTCCGGCCCGATCATTCGTATGGGAAATATCGAGGTCGACACCGACAATCAGCTCGGCACTGGCAGCAACGGCACTCTTGTTTTCGCTGGCAAGTTTGACGGACGTGAGGTTGCTGTGAAGCGCATGTTGATTCAGTTCTACGATATCGCTTCCCAGGAAACCAGGCTGCTGAGGGAAAGTGACGACCATCCCAATGTCATTCGTTACTACGCTCAGCAAGTCAGAGACGGTTTCTTGTACATTGCCCTTGAGCGATGCGCTGCATCCCTCGCTGATGTCGTCGAGCAGCCCCATCACTTTGGAAAGCTGGCACAAGCAGGCAAGGCCGACATTCCCGGTGTTTTGTACCAAATCACGAACGGAATCAACCACTTGCACCAGCTTCGCATCGTTCACCGCGACCTGAAGCCCCAGAACATTTTGGTCAACGTCGACAAGCACGGCAAGCCCCGCCTTCTGGTTTCCGACTTTGGTCTGTGCAAGAAGTTGGAAGGTGGCCAGTCGTCGTTTGGCGCAACGACCGGTCGCGCTGCTGGTACCTCTGGTTGGCGAGCCCCGGAATTGTTGCTGGATGACGATGCGAACCACACCGCCATGGTTGACAGCATCAACAGTGGCTCCGGCTCGATTCTCGTTGGCTCCGACATGGTTTCTGGACGCCGTGCCACCCGCTCCATCGACATCTTCAGCCTGGGCTTGGTCTTCTTCTACGTCCTGACCAACGGTCTGCATCCCTTTGACTGTGGCGACCGCTACATGAGAGAGGTCAATATTCGCAAAGGCAACTTCAACCTCTCGCCGTTGGATTCGCTCGGTGATGTTGCTCCTGAAGCCAAGCATCTCATAGGCTGGATGTTGAATGCTGAGCCCAAAGAGCGGCCAACGGCGCGCGAAGTCTTGGCTCACCCCTTCTTCTGGCCCGCCAAAAAACGTCTCGCATTCCTCTGCGATGTGTCCGACTCTTTCGAGAAGGAGCCCAGAGACCCCCCAAGCGGGCCGTTGCAGAAGATGGAGGAATATGCGCCAGAAATCACCAAGGGTGATTTCCTCCGCCAGTTACCGCGTGAGTTTGTCGACTCTCTGGGCAAGCAACGTAAATACACGGGTTCGAAGATGCTTGATCTGTTGCGCGCCCTGCGCAACAAGAAGAACCACTACGAGGACATGTCGGATTCGTTGAAAAAGGCTGTTGGCCCATTGCCGGATGGGTATCTGTCGTTCTGGGGCGTACGGTTTCCTCGACTGCTTATTGACTGTTGGGAGCTTATCTGGACCGTTGAATGGGACCAATCTGATAGGTTTAAGGAGTATTATGAGCCACAGGGTCTCTAAAGTCTTTTAAAATTGAAGCGTTCTGTTTTCCTCTCGAACCTCGTCTTCTGCTGCCTTTGCATATGCCTTTGTCTTGCCCGTAATGTTTCAATCGCATCAGTGAAGACCTATTTGATGTCCACACTAGACTAGTCCGCCCATGCCACACACCTCTTATACATGGAGACGCTTAGCCAAAGCCAGGAGCTGTAACATCAACAAGTAAGGCACAATCACTAGATCTTGAAGTTGGTGCAAGCTTGCTTTGAGAGTACTAATTTATCTGCCGTTTGACTCGTTTCTAAACAGAAGAGATTAGGAGTCCTGGATCCAGAACTCGACGTGCCTGCCAGAGGCACTAGGTCGTATTGTTGCCGCGTATATTTCCCGTAGTCAATCAGATGAGGGGAATGTCAAAACCCAATGTCGTTCCGCCCATTACATCAAGTGAGCCTTGGTTCCACCGCCGAATCGGTTGGTAGCGAGGGTACGTCCGCAGCGCATGCAGTTGTGGCGGACGTTCTTGAAGGGCTTCATGGAGTAGGGGATGAACACGCCAACGCCGGTTGTGCAGAAGAACATGACGGCCATCCAGCTGGTATCGTGTCAGCCAACTGGGTATTATCCAGCGGTAGGATCAGCCTGTGAAACTCACTGAGTACCCTTTCCAATGGTGTGCTCGGTGGTGGTGGGAGCAACGCCCTTGCAGCCGGGGCATTCGACAAGAGCCGGGAATCGACCCAGCATGGGCAGAGGCACCATGTTGGACCGGGAGCCTTCGCCGACGGATTCTCCATGGTGGCATGGCTGGACAAAGGTCGTCTGGCAGTGGCTGCCGTTGCAGCCGCCGGTATGGTGGGTGATTGTCGAGGGGGGAGTGCGGATGGATTGGTAGAGAGGCAAGGGAGACCGGATGCCGGATTGGTCCTCGGGGTTCTGGGTGTCGGCCATGATGTCTACGATGATGGTGTTAGTGTGAAGATGGAAGAGATTGAGGAACCTCGATCGGGAACGTACCGGTCTTGTGCATAGGTGCTTTCAACTAAAGCTTTGTTGGATATGTGTAAACGAATGTGATGTCGAGGGTGAGTAGCGATTGTTGATGGTTTGAAGAGGCTTCGACAACGCGGGAAACAGAGCATTCAAATAGACTCTTGAGTCGCGAGGCTTGTTATCTCGACAACCAACCGGACTGCATCTCCGTCCCTCCAATCACGTCTGATCCAAGTTGTTATTCCCACGGTGAAACATGGGGTAGGTGAACGCGTGTCACTGCATCGTTGTTAAGGCACTACTCACGAACTCCCCTGCCCACCAATTGAGTTTCGCGAACGATGCAGTGGGAATGCAAGACGATGCTGTACAGTCCACTGCTTCTTTGGTGGTTTGCGGCGTTTTGGTTGCCCGTTCCGGCAGTCGAATCCTTCCGGCGGGAAAGGTAGTGCTCTAAATGCTGCTGCCTAGATGGCCTCGAAATAGCACACCAGCACCTCGTGTTCCCTGTCGATCCCCTTCCTCCCCCCACCACCGCTTTTGCTGGATGGGAAAGGCCAAGAGCTGCACGAGGTTAAGTGGGTTTGAACGACCTGATTCGGAAGAGGATTCGAACCCCTCTGGGATGAGAGCCTTTTTTCAGCCTGCGAGCGTGGTCAGTTATCCACAGATAGGGTCTTGTGATGGGTTTTGTTTGGTATACTGGCTCTTTCCGAGATGATCAGAATGACGCAAGGCTGCGCGAAGGGAATGACGAGTTGAATGTCAACTTGCCTGCTTCATTGACACGGAAATTCAGCAAGAGGAAAGAATTGCAAGCCTGATTGCTTTCTCTTTTGCTTTCGAAGCTGGGCGTACGCAAAGAGGTCCTGACTTAATAGAAGAGCTTCTCGTGTCTAAGACCAAATTATATTCCCGGACGACAGCTGCCGTTCAACAGTGCATTAAAGCTACGCAGGCCAACATCAAAACGGGGTAGGGGTGGTTGGCGCCGGGGGGAGCTACACACCTGCAGCCAAGACTTTCGATGCTCGTATCGTTCGAGTTAACACGTCCGGCATCTTCAGGGCAAACCTTCGAAAGATAACGTTCTATTGGAATGCAAGGCTCTTGTGGATGTCATCATGCATTGCATCTGTACTACCACAAAGCACAAGGGCCACGGGGCTAAGACCACTGCAATCATTGGCGTACTGAGGCGCGCGTACACATAAACCTGAGAGGCTCGGCATCTGTAGCAAGAGTTGTCAATATTTCACGTGCTGGTGATGTAGCCCTTGTAGTTGCGCTGGGCAGCTGTTGTGCCCAACGCTCTGGGTCAATGCCGTTTGCTACCGCGGATAAACTGACTGCGCATAACCCTTACAAGTGGACTGTTGACCCATGATACACTCCAATCCCATGGTTGTATGAGCTTATATTTAGTGCAGGATTACACCACTGGCTGCAAACGGTTTACGATCTGTACTATGTGCTGTCTGAGTTAAGGCATTCACGCAGGAATACTGGAACGAAGCACAAGTGCGTGGATCTCCACGATCGACGTTCAAATGACTGCTTTACCCTTAAGGTGTGGTACGGCCATACCTAACCCAGAAACCCATCGTGTATGCCGAGTTTACATAAATGAAGCACACGGATACAGTTTGGCTGCTCGGGAATATCTCTAGATATGTGGGCGGTTACTAGGCACAAGTAACGGCGACCAGGATGGCGATGACAACAGAGATATAAACGGCAACAGAGACAACAATAAGAAGAAGAGTGAGAGAACGAACGTCACAGAAAGAACTAATAAAATAAAAACAATACTAAAACAGAAGATAATTACCTTACAAGACCTAACACAGGTACCTATCGCCTGGTGAGCTAGAAGTATCCGCCTGGATAGCAAAACCCTGTGGATGGATGAGAACATTAGGAAAGATGCTCTGTTACCGAACGAACCGTTTCCCTCTTCTTATTAGCGCCCTTGTGCTAGCTCAAGCCTGTCCAGATAGCCAAGACTCGCGTGGATACAGCCCAGGATTGAACAATCCATCATTAATATACTGCCGTCGATGATTCTCTATACTACTCAATCGGAGGTAGCATGTAATCTAGCTAACGTAGTACTCAAAAACAGATAGAAGGAGGCGATCAGATAGAAGATATATCTTTTGGTTAAAGACATTGTTTTTTTATACGCTCGGCGACATTGAAGCAGTAATAAGATAAAATAATAAAACGGTTGACGAGTGAGAAGAGACGCTTTTCCTCACGACAAAACTATCCGCATGATTTACTCAGTTAATAAATGGACAACTAGACAATCAGATCAATCATATTTTACAAGACGGTGTAAAGAACCAGCTATGATATAATACAAAAAAAAAAAGAAAAAAGAAAAAAAGAGACCCCTACACCAGCTCTAACCGCATCAACTTCTTACATCTCCGAAGACGCTATGATTCGGATGCCGTGGAACCTCCGACGTGGAGGGGACCTTCGTCATCCTGCAAGATCTCACTCCACCAATCTTCATGACCCTCTTTGATGCACAAGCCATCCCAATCGGACTCCGGCAGCCCTGCATCCTTCAATTTTTCTTTATCAAAGATGCGTGTATTTCGCTTCGTGGCATCCGCTGCTGGCGCCCAGAACGAGAGATCCTTTGCACCGTTCTGCCCAGAGACCTTGAAGAGCGGCTCTAGAGACTTGGGTTGAGAGTGCAACTCCAGCAGACGCCGGAGGTGCGGAAAAAACCATGTCTCTTTCCACCACCCAGAAAGCCTTTGACCCTTGAGACCATTGCGATGTGCGTTGTGATGCACAATGGCTGGGACGGAAGTGCTCCAAAAGTCGGTATAGAGAGGCAGGTCTGCCCAGTCCGCTTGAGTGTCTATTCCTGCCTCGGACAAAGGTGTGCGAATCCCAAGCATATCCTCGGGCACACCGTATACTCGAGGAGGAATGATCACTCGATCTTCAGCCGCTTTTTGAAGTGCGGTGGTATTCCTCAAAATGACGTATTCGCCATCGTCCTCTTCAAAGACGGTCGGAGTGAATAGATCTTGGATGTAGTCAAGGCCGATACCGTAGTCGAAATGGTCGGCTTCAATCTCAAGTTCGGCGTCTTGGATGATTTTCCCGGAAGCATGGTATCTCCGTTTGGAGGCCCGCCACATCTCTTGCTCGCCAAACATCTCTGCAAAGATGCCTTGATCACTAAAGATGTTGATGCCTGCAGCGCGCTTCTCCTCGACCTTTTCCTGAGCACGACGAAGCAAGCGACGCATGTCTCCGACAGGACCCATGAAGCTGCCACTGTTGACGTAGCGCGGGCGAACGTCATGAAACTGCTCAGGGTCCTCATCGGTGTGCGGGCCATACAGATCTTCGCGCGCAGGCGACTCCGGCAGCTCATCACAGTGAGGATCGGAACCAAGGTCGGGCTTGGGCCAGCACTTCTTCTGAGTAGAGATGATGATGGACTGCTTGGGGACGAATTCCGTCTTGTTGGACGAGAACCAGGGGGTCGAGATGCCCCACTGCTTGCGGATGCGCTCTTCTGCGGCGAAATTCTGTGCCATGTACCTGCGAATGAGCAAGGACGGTGGCAGCTGAAACCAAAGGTCGTAAGCGTCGACCACAAGGATCAGATCATCCGGGCCGAGACGTTCGTCCTTAGGTGCCTGGTCTGATGTGATGGCATCAAGGAACTCAAGTGTGCCGTCGATCTTGCCTAAGTGAGAGCCACCAAACCACCCAGGCGATTTGTGAAAGTCTCTTCCCCAGTTGACGATCACAGGGCTCGGATATCCGGATACAAGTGCCGACATGAGCATCTTGCAGAGGTCTGGCCCCGGCCCATCTGCTGGAACTATAACTCGGAGACGTCTGGGTCCACCCTTTTGGACGGCTGGTATTGGTGCTATGTCAGTGTGGTTCGACGGAGGCTTTGAGGCAGATATGTTCTCATGACTCTGTTGCGTGCGTTGTCAGCTAAGATTAAGGTTGATGGAACCAGAGCATGGACTCACAGCTGTAACCACAAGACAGGAGAATATAAAAACAGAAGCTACGAGCCCAAGCATGGCTTTCGGCGACAAGCGATGAAGCCATCTCGAAGGCTTTCTCGTTCGAAACCCCGGCGACGGAGGTGCCTCAAGGTCATCTGCGTAGATCTTGCTGTATAGGGGCGAGTGTGGCTTTGTAGCCCAAGGAGTGAAGCCTACCGCCATTCCCTTAACAGCAGATGTTGGATAAAAGAATGATAATGAGAGGACGCCTAAAATCTATGGACTTCTTGGGCTTAGCATCAATTCATTGGGAAACGAACGAAGGAGAAGTGCTGCGCAGGATCCAATCCAGGTGACTTGCGCGCGGGCGGAACCAGCTCAACTTTATTGATCCAAGAGCCGTCCGTATCGTCTCAGAGAACGATCTGGGGCTTACGGCCACATTTTGCCATGTGTCGTCGCTTACACGAATCCGCTCCTTCGACAAGGTCATCATCGACGTGGTGGTCATGAGCGCCCAGCCGACTTCTTCCCCTGCAGTTGGGCGTAAGACAGCTAAGCCGGGCGAAGACATTGCGTGTGCGATTGGGATCTCGCCTCTGATAGGGCGGTGATACTTGCCCAAGCCATGTCCTTCGTCCCGGACTGGACTTGCAAGTGACTACTAATTGACGATGGGGAAGGGGCGGAAACAGTAAAGCAAAGATTTCCGCCCCCTGTCTCCGGGAGCAATGGCGGATACCGGCAACGCGGAACTTGGCGGAACAGCTCGTGTGAGCGCATGGGGAGATCGGTGCTAATGTGAACATCTTGGCTTTACTTGGCTGAGGTGGAATGGAACACAGCTCTGGAACAAGCGCTACCAAAATGCCCAACTGGATCTGTCGAACTAAGCTTTATACTTCACACCCAACGTACTACCTTTGCTACTGTTGTTTACGTTGTTGAGATTTTATATTAGATTTTGTCTATCCATCATTATGTTCACTCATTTACTTGTATGGAGGTATCCGGCAATTTTCTTGGGCTGTCTGTGTAGCCCAGGCCGACTTTGCCGCAGAGGAGCGTGGCACACATCCGCCGCACACCCAAATGAAGCTCGCTCCAGCTTGGCTCATTTCCTATTCGACATCAGGCAGCCCTCATTTGGAACAAATCAGTTCGACTCATCCCCTTGCGTAGAACAGCGCTTATGCTGCAGGAATGTCTCAGCGCCGAGGAACGGCTGCCTCCCTCGCGGGCGAATATGTACTAACATCACCTCCATTTTCCGAGGTTGAATAACACTGAACTCAAGGCTTGTTTGACGTCCTTTAAATCCTCCTTCAATTATGGCGTTATTTTCAAGACCAATTCGCCGTCGGGTCGTTACCAGCTTGCCCTTGCCCAAAGCCGAAGCCGTACGTCTCCGGCTGAAGCGGCTGAGACCCAAGCGGGCTACCTGGCTTGCCTCCTTCAAAGGGAGTTCCGAGCAGGTGAGCCAGTCTTACAGTAAGACTCTGGTCTCGGTTTGGTAGATTTCCCATGAGTCCTTGCACCAGATACATCGGGTGTGTTGTCGCACCGAGTAGCGACTGCAAAGCCTGAAACAGAATTAGATAGTGCTCGGTATTCACTGCAGGGCGATGTCTTACCTGCGCGTCTTCGTTCAACGCAAACCCCGGTATCAATGAGATACCGCCACCAGTGCCGCCCACCAGATTCTGGGCACGCATGGTGTTCTGAGCATCATCCACTGCGTATTGCACTGTCCTTTGCAGCATGGCACACGCGGTCAGCACGCGCTTCAAGTCGCATCCTTCTGTCTTCTCGAATCTCTGTAGGAAACCAGCGAATGATCTTGTAGCCCCGAGATCGCTGCGCGCGCGAGGGGAACCAGGGTTCTCAAGTACATCTGTGAGAAGAGTCATGCTTGCGCACAGAGGATAGCACAAGATTCGCCTAACAAATTGACATCAGAGATTTGTCTCGCTCGAATAACATTCGGAGTCCTACCAGAGATCTGAGTATTGCGGTGTCGAGATCGTTCTGAACAGTCCTAAGGTCGCGTGGGCAGCTGTTCGGCATCGTTTCTGGGAGAACGAAAGCTGGATGTAGGGCATCTCGAAGCCTGCTGGCGTTCCCAAGAGAACGGCCACAGTCTTGAACTGGCTGTGTCGCCTCGCTGCCCAGTGCACCATAAGTGTGCAGCGGTAAAAGGCCAGTTGTAGATTCAAGACGTCCGGCGCAAAGTCTTGACCAGATTTAGGGGAGTCGTATGTGGGTTGGAGATCTGCTGGTAAACTAGACCTCCACTCTTCGAGCAGAGCATCAAGATCTATGATGGCCTTGACTACATCATCGTCGTTAAGTCGCAGTCCTTTGGCTGTGTAAAGTCGCCGTCTGATGGAGGATTCTACCATGGCGAGTTTGGCACGCAAGTTGAGTATGTCCACACCCTCTCCTAATCCTGTCGGCAATTCCGTCTCAATGTCATCATCATCTTGGATCGAGTCCAGACCGTGATTGAGACCCATTTCCTTGTCAAGAATGTATGCAGCCCAGAATACTCGACTGCGTGCTTCCACATCCTGCATACACATCGACATCATGGTGCAGGGCTGCCTATGAAGTCCGATGTTCTGCGATAACCTTACCGCATCAGATGAAAGTAGAGCTGCCGTCCTTGAGCAAGTCGTTCCCTGCATGAAAACAGCCATTGCCACAATGGCCTGAACCGACAGAAGATCATCACCTTTGACCATTAGTTCCGTGAGGACTGAGAAAGCATTCTTCAAAAATGGCCATGCCAGTTGGCATACTTCCTGGAACGCGCTGTTGATCGTCTTCCACCGGGTCCCAACGGCGATGACCGCGTTCATATACGCCCAGCCTGAAGTACTGTTGAACGAATCCTCTGCATTCGGAACAGTTTCAAATCGATTCACAAAGTAGTGAAAGTTGAGAAGTGGGTAGTTGCTTATCACGTCGTCATAAAGGGGCATCAGCATCGTGATAGCCTCTTCTCGATCGAGACGTGGAGTAAAGACCTGTCTGTTGAACGTGGAACAATACGACGCGGAGTTAACTTCCTTAATTCTGCTCGCAATGACTGCGAAGACTGGCATTTTTGGTCCCAACGGGTTCGGTGGGTCGGGAACATGTTGAGTTGCAGCTGGTTTTGGCGTAGGTTGATCGGATGAATCATTGGAGTCGGTTCCGTCAATCATCGCATGGTCCGTCGACATTTGATTGAAGGAACTTTGCAAAGCATCTACTCGAGATGTACCCGCTTGACTAGGCGCCGCAGTTGCGCTTGGAAAAACAGGTGGCGCGGGAGCCACCGAGACGGACGCAGCATCAGTCTCGGATGGCGACACCCTGGTGGGCGGCGCACCAGGCCGAGGCAATCCAGCTTGATTAAGGACTGCTTCCATCTTGGAAAGACGCTCCTCAAGAGCCTGGATGTACATTTTGCTTATCATTCAGTCAGAATCTTACTTGAGGTATGCGAATATTAAATTTCGAAGCAACGCTGCAACGTACCTTCGGCCGGGGCCACGCCGCCTTTGCACCTGCTGATACTGGCAATCATGACTGCGATTAGTGCATGGAGTACATGATGGTTGTTTCCCATCACACTTGATCTTCTTCGACTGACATCTTAGACAGGCCTAATATCAGGTGGTCAGCTGATATGAACAAACAACATAAGACGCCTGCGTGCCACCACAAAGAGTGGCGCATACCTGTCCAATGCGTGCAGCCTTGTCTCGTGCCCGGCTGTCCAGGACAGATGCAGTGTCCATGGCGGCCGACAACTACTAGCGTCACTACGTGAAGCCGCTCTCCGAGTTTCGAAAGCTGTTACACGGGAACGCGTCCGATGTGCCGGATGACAGAGACCCACTTTCCCGGCCCGTCGGCGATGTGCTGAGTCCGTGGTGCTTTCGGACGCGGAAAGATGCCGGAAGCCCGCTACGCGAATTGGAAATCTCAACAAGTCGGCGGAAGCAGAACTGGGCAAAATTCGAGGGCACTCCTAACGGAGGTTAGCATTCGAGGGACGTTGAGAGGAAGTAGTTTCATGATTGGCCCGGTCACGTAAGAACCGGAAGCATTTTGGATCCGAGTCATGACCACCTTAGGTAAGTTAGCAACGGTGCCGCCGAAGGAACTTCCCGAAATCAATCTATCCCACGTGGAATAGCGCTCCTTTCCTGCCCTGTCTGCTCCGCCCGCCGGCTTGAGCGTTGGCGGAAGTAATTTGTTACCGAACGCATTGCTGGCGGACTTTCACCATGTTGTTAGTTGCCAAGACAGTTGCATTGCGATGGCGCATTCAATACCATGGATTAGCTGATAGCATCCAGGCAAAAGACTCCGCCCGACGTGCGGAATCAATTGTATTGAGTTTGAGGCTGCACCAGTTTGACTATTTAGACAACAGACCCCTCAGGCAAGGCCTGAACCAACACAGTTAATAAAACAAAGTAACAAGCGACTAGAACAGCGATCAGTTCACTCTCTTTTTAATTCACAATTTCTACAACACATTCTCCAAATCATCAAAATGTCTATTATCGCAGTTGCCGGTGGAACCGGAAACGTTGGACGAACTATCGTCGAGGCCATTGTGGCTACTGGTAAACATGATGTTAAAATCTTGGCCAGAAAGGTAAGCATGCCCGAACAGTCTTGAGTGTTGCAGTCTCTTTGGTGTAAAGGAGATGCTGACAGAGGCCAAGGCCAACACCGACTTGGAGAAGGAAGTTGGTGCTTCAATAATTGTTGTCGATTACGCAAATGTCGAAGCCACCACTAAGGCCCTCGAAGATAACAACGTGCACACCGTCATCTCGGCAATCAACATGATGCCTCCGCCGGGACAAGTGCCGCAGGAAATCGAGCTTATCCGTGCTGCGGATGCTTCAAAGACAACCAAGAGAATTATTTCTAGTGGCTGGGGTATCCCCCATAACGAGAGGTCTGTGTTTAATCCCCCATAGTTGTTGTTGAAGATAACAGCTAACATCCAGAAAGTCAAATCAAAGAGTTGGGGTCAGTTCCTAACAAGCTCAAGGCTCGGGCCTTTTTGGAGAACGAAACGAAGGACCTAGAGTATGCTGTCGTTCACAATGGTTTCTTCCTCGATTACTGGGCTCTTCAAGCAGAGAAGTCGAACATGACACCGTTCACTCTTTTCATCGACATTCCCAATGTCTCTGCAGCCATTCCCGGATCAGGAAATGTCCCTTCGGCGTTCACTCACACGAGAGACGTCGCCAAATTTGTGGCGGCTGCTCTGGACTTGAAGAAGTGGGACAACGATCTTTATATCGTAGGAGACAAGGTGACTTGGAATGAGTTCCTGAAGCTTGCTGAAGATGCCAAGGGTAAGTGTTCCAATAGTAAAGGATTACTGCAGAGTTTACTCACAGATCAAACCATAGGCACAAAATTCAACGTCGCTTACGACAGTGCCGAAAAGCTCAAGGCTGGTCAGACGACAGAGCTTCCGGGACAGATCCCAGCTTACCCCTTCTTTCCCAAGGAGGCGTATCAGGCGCTCGCTGGAACATTTGGATGGTGGTTTGAGAATGGCACCTTTGATATTCCCCCGTCTGGAAAGAAGACTCTGAACGAGCTCTTCCCAGAGATCAAGGCATGGAAGGTGAAGGAGATCTTTGACAAAGCCTGGAAGAAGGCCTGAGTAGAAACGACGAGAAGGGAGCGTTCTAAGTGTTAGACATCGATTGGTCCATAAAACAAATTTTATGGCCATCAGCCGGGATATGAGTAAAACAGTCTCATGCAGATCCATGTTTATTCGAAGCTCGCCCCCGTGAACTGCCGCGAAAGACTCATGAAGGTTCCACGGAGTCACCTGCTACATCGACTTTGCTCGTGCAGATCACAAGCTGACCTGCCATCCAATGCCTAAAACCCTGCCGCTGTAATCATCACGTAGATATTGATCTCTACGGGCTTACCATCGTTCAACTTTACCTTCCGTCACACTGGAAAATAGTGCGTATATTCACGTGAAAAGCAAGCGACCGAGTTGCGTGTCTTTTGGAGTACTCTGACTCGCTGGCGACGTAACTCGCTCGCCTATTTAGATTGTGTTGCGGAAGCGAGTCTCCCCGGCCACTCAAAGGCCCCGCGAAACATCCGCGGACGAGACTACGCGGCGCATTGTGTAAAAGAATGGCCGTAATAGGCCTTGCAAACACCCCGGAAACTCTATTTAAATTGGTTCAAGACCTTGGAAGCAAAGCACTCGGGGTTTGGTAAGAATATGGAAATTCGTGGGGTCGCTGTCGCGCTATGTGAGCTAGGTGCAAGGTAGTTCCAATGGCATTTAAGCTTTCTTCGTGGGTACACACGTCTCTGGCGATAGGAAAACGCAGTCACACCAAAGACGCTTTCTAAGACACAAGGAGTCTCTCCATGATGATTATCGGTGTCTATCTGTCAAAATGAGATCAGACATCGTCGTTGTGGCCTGCAACACTACCTTCAACCCGACGCTTTGGAGAGTTCTGCCAGTTTCTGCTACAAGCTTTCCTGACAGCCTGCAAATTCATGGATCCGTCTAAATATTGCAGTCTGGACGATGGATTGGCGGGGGTAGCCCATGCGGGGTGGGAAACTGACGAGCATCTCCCTGCAAGAGGGAACCTTGCAATCTCGGAAAATGTACTCTACGAGAATCAACATCTGATACGTTCTAGCTGCTTTCTGTCTGGCTCTGACCCCGGTAATAGTCGTCTCAAAGATGGAGGAGGCCAGACTTCATAAAGACCAAAAACCCCTCTGTGTTTGTAGAGAGGAAAGAGAACCGCTTTCAAATTGCTTCGTTTGCTCGCCAAACATCCTATCGACTAGTTTCGACAAGATGCTTGAGACTTTGATCATCTCGTCGAGCTTCGGCTCTTTATATGCTTTGCTGGCATGCCTCGCCTTTTTCATCTTGCTGGAAGCTGGCAAGATGGTGTACTCTTCCAAGTTTCACGCCCTCAAGAGAGTTCCAGGCCCCTGGTTTCCTGCAGCAAGCTCTCTCTGGATTCGTTGGCAACGATGGCACGGCAAGCTTTCATTCACCGCCGACGACCTCCTCAGGCAGTATGGTCCTGTAGTGCGCATCAGCCCCAACATGGTCCTCGTCAATGATTCTCCATCTCTTCAAGCCGTCTTCGCCAGACAAGATCTCGACACTGCCCCCCGCGCCATCCGAGCTCTGCGTATTGGAGGCCATGAGTGGACAGTCACGTACCCTCAGAACAGCATCGCACGCGAACGTCGTCGGCCCGTCATGGTTGCTACTACAACCAAGGCAATGAAGTACTGGCATCCTATCTTTGAGGATAATGTCAACAGGATGGTCCGCAATCTGGGCAGTTCCAAAGGCGAAAGGTCCGAGGACATTGTATACCATCTCCGTGTTGCGACTCTGCTCAACTCCCAGGTTGTCATGGCCGGTTCCCAAGCAAAGATCGACCCAGGCGACTTCCCTCATACTGTCGGAGAATACAACTTTCTCGTCGTCTGGCGCTTGTGTCTGCCGAATTGGCTTTTCGAATGGCTGAGATTTACCCCGATTGCTCATCCAAAGTTTCGCGTCGAATCAAGCGACAGGCTATTCGAACTGGGCTCGCAAATTTGCAAGGAAGCCGAGAAGGTTGATCCTGTCGATCGCGACGAAATTCCGACTGTCTACCAGCTTCTCATGGAGAAGCAGGAGAAGGGAATCAACTGGTCTCACGACGAGATAAGCGCCGAGATGGCAGGCCAAATCCTCGCTGCTACCGAGACCACATCGTCCGCTCTGGCATTCATCTTCTACGAGCTTGCAAAGAACACCAGCCTTCAAGACAGCGTAGTCGAGGAAATCAACACCCAGCATAACAACGACAACCTTGACAGCCTCAAGCTTCTCGGGGCGTGCGTCACTGAGGGCCTCCGCTTCCGACCTCCTGTAGCCCTGACCGGCAGTCGAGTTGTCCCCAAGGGAGGGATCGATGTTCTTGGTTATTATATCCCAGAGGGCACGGTTGTTACCACTCAGTCCCTGTCTATGAGCCGACAGAGACCTGACTTGTTTCCCAATTACGACGTCTTTGACCCGACACGCTGGCTGGAGGAAGAAAACCTCATCGAGCGACGACGGCTTACGGCACCTTTTGGCGTGGGCGCTCGACGCTGCCCGGGTGGGAATATGGCGACCTATCAGATGCGTCTGATTCTCGCAGCGGTCTTGCGGGAGTACAAGATCACAGTTGCTCCCGAGACAACCCCGGAGTCGATGACACCTTTCGAAGCAAACGGGTTCCGATCGCGATATGATGAATGCTTTCTCATCTTCACCCCTCGGTATTCTCACGTTATCAACACATGGGTGGGCTGAGCTAGTTTGAAGTCCTGAGCAATACTGAACCCTGTATCTGCACTCAACTGTGCGCGTTTCACGTGCCGAAATGATAGCAAAATTTGAGTCTGTGACAGAAAACTGAGTGGATTTTCCAGACTAGATGAATTACTAGCCCGGACTTTCTTTCGCACCCTTCATGATGATATGTGGCAGTCGTCTCTCGACGCCGAAGACACAGATCCACAGATAACAAATGTGTCACTGCATCCTTGCTTTCTGGCCCAAGTGTTCGAATATCAACAAAAATATCTCTACGAGAGACCGTGCCCCTTTCGTCGTCCCCATGCGTCGTGATTCGTCATGTCCCTTCATTCAGATCTTGAATCATTTGCTCTTTACTCGTCAATGACTTCCGGCTTGTGGCAGACAACCTCAACGTTATTTCCCGCAGGATCGATTACGAAAGCGCCGTAGTAGTTCGGGTGGTATTGAGGTCGAAGACCCGGAGCGCCGTTATCCTTGCCGCCGGCTTCGAGCGCAGCCTTGTGGAATTCGTCAATAACCTTGCGGTCTGTATCCATCAAAGATTAGATACACAGTCTAAACATTGCAGAATGCAAAACTTACTCTCCGCTTTGAAGCCGATGTGGAGGGGGATATTGGCCCTTTCAGCCTTGTGAGACGCAATCCAGAAGTCTGGAGAATGAATGCCGAGACCGCAGGCGTATTCGTTTGGCTCGACAAACTTCTTGAAGCCAATTGGCTCAAGAGCGGTGAGGTACCATTGCACAGTCTCCTTGTAGATGCTGGCGGGGACGTAAAGGCCGACGTGATCGATGGACATGTTTGCGGTTATTATCGTCAAAGACAGACAGAAAGGGCTCAGGAGATGAAGCTATTGATGGTGGGTGATTGAAGAACGTGATACTCAAGCAGTTGAGGTGGTGATGTTTGTCTCGGCGGTAGGGAGACTGGCGGGGTAATATGTACCCCAATGGCGTCAAAGGCGTTCAGCTAGGGAGAGACCGCGTCGGATATGGCAATCTCCGTGTCGAGCTGAGAGAGAGCGCGCGAATGCACCGCGTCGGCACGTGCAGATCGAGAGGACCAGGCCGGCGTGAGTCAGACATGCACCAATGGACTAAGCTGAATTGTATTTAGCGAGACCATTGAACAGGGACATCTTCCGTAGCTATCGGCGGGGGTCCGGGGCTGATCGGGGAGCTGCAGGGCGAGGTGGGGCCGTCCAGGCAGCAGCGGCGCGGAGGATGCAATGCCACGGTAGATCGAGTGGGGGGTAGGGCTGCAGTGAGACGGAAACATGGGAAAGCCGATCACGGTTGAATCATCTGCACAGCTTGGCGCCCAGCATAGGTACGAGTTCGTGAACTGAGATGGGAGGAACTTTAGTAAGTCTTCAGTGGCGTCAGTTACACCGACGCAACTTCCCTTGATCTACAGACCGCCGGCCGGTCTTCGGTCTCCAGACTCACAGTTCCACCGCCCTGGAGGCCATCTTCTATCTTATCATACATGTCTTTCACTTTTACCAGTCTCTCTTGGATACATTGCGAGAACGACGGGGGTTATCTCTGTCGACTCGTCTCAATCCCTTACAACTTGGCTAAGATCTTTCTATTCATCCGCAAGCGCACCATGGCAATCAGCCCAGCTGATGCAAGCGATAATGATCCAGCGTAGAACATGGCAGGACGGTAGGCTTGCAGGCCATTATCCTCACCTCCATACGCCTCGAGGAGATAGCCAGCAATGGGCGCACCCTATGCGACTTGGTTAGCCGCGACAAACCTTCATCTGCAGGATGCAAAGAAACTCACCATGAGATAACCGCCGGCCCAACCTGTCACAATCATGCTCATCGCGACTGATACTCGGGCGGATCCGAACACATTACCAACGACGGTGGGCATGGTCGAGAAGAAGCCACCGTTGGAGATGCCGTTGACAATGACGAACAAAATCATGGGCCCTAATGTCGTTGAAACGGGCCAGATGGCGAGGACGCTAACAGCCGACAAGAACAGTGACGCAAACAACACGTTAAGGGCGCCGAAGTGGTCGCAAAGAACGCCACAACAGATGCGTCCTATGGCCGAGGAGAAGTTGAAGCCTGCAACGAGGCCGGCTCCTGTTGAGGACGAGAGGCCGATGGATTTGGAGTAGAGTGGCAGAAAGAATGGCGGCACGAAGAGAGGGAATGTGCCCACAGCTCCAGCAAGGAAGATGATCAGGAAGGTGAAGGACTTGAAGAGGCGCCTTAGGAACCGTGTTAGCAAGAGCATTTGGACTGCCTTTTGCAGACCTACCACTCAACGAAC